GTTTTTTTTATCAAAAAACTTTATTTATGCGAGTACTATTTATTGTTGGCAAGAAAAAATTTTGTGGCTCTTTAAAAACTTTGAAATTTTGTATATTGTAATTTTGGCTCTTCCGACTCAAAAGGTTGCCGACCCCTGGTGTAATGGAAACTCGATTATTCGAAACAGTTTTAAAAAAATGTAAAATCTGCTGTGTTGTATATACTACAGCTTATAATACATTACCTTCGAATACTACAGTATTTATTGTTTAGGAATTTTTTAAATGTACTATCGGCGATGAAATCAAAAAGAAAATAATAATAATAATATAATAAAATATGAACGATTTTCTGTATTTACCAACGGTGTTTCATCAAATTCGGAAAATTGAGTTTCTATTGTATACACTATATATGAACAGATTTAACTGAATTGATGAATTAAGGCAACTAAATATTCGGGCAATGTGCTAAAGGAGGACTTTATATGGTAAACTGCACTCTACTTGTTAGACACGTGAAGAAAACCCGGTAAACTCTACGTGGCTATCTGTTGGTTAGGCGCGAACCTCACGAACCACGAAATTATAGATTATAATAGAACTTTTTATTACCAAACTCATGAAATAATGATAAATTATTAGGCGAAGTGAAAATGCCAAATAACTACTTAGATACATACAAAGGTGCTGCAATTTATTCAATAAATCTGATCTGTTGAAAAGAATTAGAAATAAATGCCAACACACACTCATACATGAAATGTCCTTTATTTTTATTTTTTTGGGTACAAGGGATCGCATGACGTCGAGATTTGAAAAAAAGTCGGAGAGTCCAATTTGGCACGATTACAATACTGTATCGTGTTACATTGTAATAATAAAATTTAATTTGTATTATTAATATAATAACAAAGTAAATATCGTTTCGCCATACGAAATAAAAAATCCACCAACGAGTTGCTTAACTTTCCGGCGACATTTGGTAGCGACATCTGTTATGATATTTTAATAAAAAACCTTTTTATATTTTTAACTGTTGTAAATTAGCAAAAAAATTTATTATGAGGGCAAAGATGGGTTTAATATAAAATTTTAAATGCTAATAATAAGAAAAATTGTCACGAAGTCTGACCCTACACGATCCCCATTATCTTCTCACCCCTTCGACGTTTAATTATCAAAATTTAATATCACTAATCCCTATAATAAAATTACAGAAAAAAAACACCATTGTCAAACTTCTAAGCTTACAGGAAAGCGGCGCTGATAGTCCGACGTACACGTTTTCGCGTTTAAAACTTCGGCCTCAACCTCGTTACTAATATCCATACATACAGGAAATAACCCCCAAAATTTTGTGTATTTCTAGACGTTTCGGGGTATCCTAAGCCCAAGAATGTAAAAATCTTGTGTGAGGTCATTTTAGTTTTCCTCTGTTATATATAACAGCTGGGAAAGTAATTAATACATTGCTATTTATTCTAAAAAGAACCGATGTACCTTTCTTATATTCATAGAATTATAGTATACAAGTTTATAGTTTACGTAAATACTTTTATTATAGTCATTAATATATTCAATAAAATCAGATGATTGTTAGTAATTCTTATTGAATTATATCGAAACGTGTACCAAATGTCAGAGATACTCAGAGATTCGTAAATATAAAACCAATTATAATAAAAAATAAAAATAAAATTCATTAAAAATGTCTTATAAAAGTTAAATTTTTTTATAACAATCGGCATTTAAGAAAACTCTTGCAAATATCTGAAGCAGGCGTTCATCAAAATAGCAATTTCTCTCAGTTGCTGATGAAGACTTTCGTGATGTATAACGCGATCGTTTCTTGGCCCTGAAAATTATTTTATATTATTATATAAGGATTGTTTATAAAATTAAAATAATAATTCACTACAAACAAAATAAAATTCTTACTAAGTGTAGTAAGAAAAGGTTAAGCAAAAATTCATACTTTCTGGTATAAAAGTATGAACTACTTCACGCTTTCACTAATCGTATATAGTTTGAATAGTTTAAAAATATTTTTTTTATTTAACTATGAATAATAAACTACTTAAATTTAGGTTAAGATATGAAAGAAAAATATTTTAATGCGAATAGCAAATACCTTCAAAATATATTAAATGAATCTTCGTTTTAAAGTCAATTTTTCCATTAGAAAATCTCTCTCTCATCACTCGCATCAGTATCAAAATCTGCATTGTCAAGTATTGAAATTGTTCGATTTTACATTTGTACGGATCGAGATAATAATTTTCCAGTTTTAGAACATCGTGAGCAACAAGTGATTCTTCTACGATCTGCAAGGTTATAGCTTTTATCGGATATAGGTCCTGCAAAAGCAGTTAAGGTCTTGTTTCTATTAACATTTCGTAAAGAAAACTAAATTTAAATTATTAATTTATAAACTACCATTCTGTTTGTTGCTGTTATCGGCATATTTTCTATTATCCATAAAGAAACATCTTTCAGTGTTGAGATGAGAAAAACTTTAAATTTTAGGAACTCTTTTAGTAAGTAATAGTTATTCGGTGCCTTGAAAAAAGGTAGTAAATTAAATTACGATGAATATTTACAATAGAAGTTCGTTAATCCGGCACCCCATAATCGGGAAATCTCGAAATGGCAGTATTCTGCAAATGGAAATTTCACACGTGGTATGTAAATGATCCTGCGTGGAATCAAGTGTGGCACAATATAGTCATGAACTGTATGAAATCATAATTGAAGAAAGCGCATGATTAAAATCAGAATAATACAGCAACGTTTGCTGATGTTAAACGTACTGCAATGGGCACATTGCCTAATAAGCAGCAGCTTTAGTGTATATGGATTAGCAAGCCAATTAAAACGCAAAACGTGTTTTAAATGAAACGGCTGTGTTATTGGTTTGCATATCCAAGTGTTTTAAAGACATATTACCAGGCAACACTTCTAATGTCCAGATTGCACGAAACTTTATGAAATTTGCAAAAATACAAAAATATTTTTGCCTATTACTAGAAATTATAGTCTCTAAAGTAAAATATAGTAAAAATCCTAGGCATTTCAGGGCCTGATTTACGATCAAATAGAATGAAATTTAAATCACTAATTTTAAATCTGTTCCGTAGAACGAGTGACAAACTCTCATCGTATTATTTAATAATAGTTACGCCACTGAATATTCAGTATTCCGGCATCATCTTGGTTTCCTAAATACCGCATTAACGAACTTCTACTCTTCTAACAGAATTTTAAGATAATTATTAATAGCAAGTTTCTTACTCTAGTTGGAACTCTATGTAGCAGAATTTCTTTATCCCTTAGATAATATCCTCGAGAATGTATTCCAAACCTGATCGGTTTTAAACCCTTCTTATAACATGTCTGTAAAGTACAAAATTTACATTTATAAACCGGCTTGCAGTCACCATTTATAGAGCATTCGTAGCAACTTCTGTTAATGATTGTTGTGAAGACAAACTGAAGACAACGTTTGCACGCCTCGCATCCATAATAATCATTCCATGCCTGGCGATAACAAATTCTGCATTGACTAATTATCATTCTACCTTTAAAAAAAAATAATAAAAATATAGCCTGTAAAAGCTACATGTAGTTAAATTATGTTCACATCCGAAAATATTCAATATGTTGTTTACCTCTTTGACCTTTTTGTTCTGTGATCTGCTCTATTGTAGCCATTATCGTTTAAAAATATAAAAATAAATGAATACGAAACAACAGTGAAAACGAAATGAAACATTCACTTTTAAGGAATCTTCATTTACATAAATTACGTAATATTTTTCGAAAATTAAATATAATTAAATAATAATTATTTTTCAAATAAAATTATTAATTAATTTATCATTAATTAATGGACCCCGAACTTTTTTCTTAAAACTATTTTTTAAGCTTGGAAAGTAAATTTTAAGTTTTAGTTATTATGAAATTAGAAAATAAATGTAATTGAAAATTTATATTATTAAATAAATAATTAATTATTATTAATAATATAAAAATAACGTTTGCTTTAATTTTGTATCATTTATTAATAGAAGTAACGTCAAATATAAACAAAATTTTTTGTGTTTTACGTCATATACAATTGTGAGTGTAGGAGTGCCAGTTACTTGAAGTCCATGTTTATACGAGTAAACAAATGCCCTGAAAACAAATGTCCTTTTCTCTCGACGGCACCTTACTATTACAGAAAACTACACTTGCGATCATACTTCCACTGAGCACCACAAAATTATAGATTAAATGTCTGCCCTCATCCGAAAATTCTAGAGATGAAATGTTATATTGGCTGAAAACTTGAGGATTTCCCTTATTCAATACTTTCTTGTGACTAGCAGTGGCCGGCGCGTATAAAACCGCAAAATACTGGTAGTTGGTCGCATGTTCGCTTTTGATCAACGGGGTGGCAACGTGAAATTTCCGAGCTTTCTTCATGTGTGTAATACCTAAATAGGGTTCAGTTTCCAATAGACAGATCGTCCAAATATTGCATTGCCTTATTCTAAGAATTTAATGCTTCCACAATGTTTTGAACTCTCACTCTTACAGCCAGATTTTTTTTAAATTATATAACATTTAAACGTCGTTTTACAACTCTGTTGATTACCCCCTTTCACAGATTAAATGCCCTTGATCTTTCAGCTATATCTCCAACTGACCTTTTGTCTATGTCACATCCATAATCGTGCGCAATTCGACATTCACTCTAACACTTGACGATCCCTGTAAAGAGAATGGCTTTTCTAACACTATATTCATTGAATTATAAAGTTAGCTGTAATAACCATTTGATATGGATATTGACAAACCATAAAAATTTTTTTTTAATTACGTTAAATCCCAGTATGCGTTTTCGTCCCTCCTCTGCCGGTCTGGTATTTTTTTTTCCTGAAAACTCAACAATAGATATGTAGTTTGACGTAGTTAGTAAAGACTTTTGTGGCGTGCGATTAGTCTGTAGTTATAATAGTCAAATTTAATAATTATATGAAACACGTACAAAAAACTTAAAAAACGAATCATTTTCGCCTTTGATAGTTTGGTTTATTCATATGCGGCAACGCGACACAAATGGGAAATCTTCCGAAGATCTTTTATGAAAAACTGGTCCCTGTTTATGTGTTACTACGTCACTGTTCATAGAAGTAGGCATTAAGTATAGATAACACAAGAACGAGGAAGTTTACATCTGACATTAATATACGAGACTATGATTCTACACACTTGTAGTAGTCTATCGTTGTACACATTTGTATTTTCTGTCCTCTTCGAAAGTTTCGCTGTAGCAGGACCGTATGGAACAGTTTTGGCGTTAGAGGAAAGCCTCATACCTTGCGCTTCGATTCAACGTTAATCTCAAAAAAAAAAAAAAAAATCTACGGACCCGTTTTAAAGCCTTCAAAGCAGGGCTGTGGAATCGCGTAAAAATCTACCGACCTCAACTCTGACTTCGACTCCGACCAGGGGCGGACTCGTTACCGAAAGAGACCCGGAAATTCTGATGTCATCACGTGACCTCAAAATAAAAGATTCAATAAATAGAGTTGTAATAAAGATAAAGAATAGAAACTTTTTATTCCAAAGCTATAAGACTTCTCTAAGTAACATATAAATATGTATTCGATAATTTTTATTTTTCCGGCTAATATATAACAGAGGAAAAGTGTAGCGCTCGCTCAAAAGATGACCGCTCCCAAATTTTTACATTTTTGGACTCGGACACCTTGAAATTTCGAGATATGCAAAAGATTCTTGGTTTTTTCTATATGTGTGGATGTTAGACTGTGTGCGGGGGGCATGATTTTGTTCACCCTGTTTGAAGCTTAATAATTTCTGTGGTCAGAATCGGAGTCAGATGGTTTAACACAGGAGTTAGTTATTAAGCGTTAAAGTGGTTAAACTAAATCGTATCCCCGTATATAGTAGACCCCCCTATAACGCGAAGATTCGTTCCTCGTTATACGAATTTTGCGTTGTAGAAATCCCTAAATACGTGAGCCAATCGCAGCCCGACACGTGTGAAGTTTACGGACTACGGCTGTTTGAAAGGTTTTCTTCCATAAAATTAATCGATTCTAGACTAATCCNGCTCGAGATGGTTGAAGATATATTTTCAAACTCATCGTAAATTCGGCCAGGCTCACAATAAGGACGACTGGTTGGTGAGCGGCGAAGCCCGAAATACCCAGAACAGTCCATCCATGAAAATTTCCTTTGGTATTTTTTCTCCTATATTTGATTCCAAGTCCCAAGAACGGTAGGTTGTAACACTTTAATCAACCGCCTCAGCCATTCAGTTATGCACAGTTTGATTTTATGACTTTATCTGCAGTGGTAAAGAACCTCTTCATGTTTTAATACTCGCCCTCCGTTCCTGTTTAATTGTGGTATTCATAGTAACTGAATAAATTTCCTTTTTTTCCGATTTATGGTATAATTTCGGGTTTTCAAAAGTTTTTGCTGTCGGCTATTGGTTCATTCATTTAGAGAAAAGAATTATATTCGTATTTTCTGTGATGATACGCGGAAAAACAGAAAAAATGGACGTTTAATCGTTTTCCTACGTGCAAGAAATTAAGAAATTATAGATTATTTTCCGTGCTCCTTCAATTTAATAAATATATTTTAAAGTATATAATAAATGGTATAAGGGTATAGGTAGTTGCTGCAAATACAATTGTATAAATACATCTGGAAACCCTGATTGACAAACAACTTGATAAAAGTTTACGTGGCAATTATACAAAATTTTTCGAGTGAACACTTAGATCATAATTTAGCATCTGACGATGAAGTTGATTCGTTCTTTCTCTCTATTCTTAATTTTTGGTAAGTAGCTTTTAACGTAAAAGAGAACGTTGAAGGGTTGTTTTAATGTACTGTACTTCCTTTACGTTGCAGTTACCAGCTTGTTTGATGGTACGTATGGAAGAAAAAGCGAGAAGAAACCAGAAAAGGGTAGGAATTTTATGTCACTTATTCGATAAATATACATAGTGTTTGAAGTTTAGTAGATCCTGCTTTAAGGCGGTCAAAAAGAATTAGGATTTTTTAGAAATAGTCTGTCTTATCCCTCAACACCTGATCATTAATTGTGACCTTTATTCTATACTCATTACAAAATGCACGATGGGGAATAAAGGCCAGAACGGACTTTACGATGAGTCTAGTTAAATCCCTCTTAAAGCGAAAAGAATAGGAAAAATGTTGGCCATTTTTATGAAGTATTATTTCCGAGAAAGTAATCGAAATTTATGACACTAATCTTACAGTAATTATGTAACTCGCTGGATCGCTTTTTAGAAACCAGTTGAATCATAAAAGTAGTTTTCAAAATTCAAAATTATATAATAATAATATGTATTTTCAGAAACGTAAGCTTATTTTCTGACAATAAGCTGATAGCAATTAAGAATTAGCGGTTTACGAGGGTTTTCAGTTCTCCAAGTACTAATTAAGTTGTGAAAGGGTGTGTGTATTTCTAGAAATTTACGTTAAAACATAAATTTGTAATTAATCAAATGGTTAAATACATTACACTAAATTAGATATTTTCTTTATAAGTTAGTACTAAACATTGCCTATAGATTTAGAGTTCATCATTGCGTATATAAAATTTCCTCCTTTCATTTATTCATGGAAAATATATTCTTAAAAATACAAAAAAATTCTCGTAAATTGTTAAATTGCAGGGAATCGCAGCTTATTTAAAAAAAATTTTTTAATTTAACCGCTTCGTCCTTCCCACTGTCTTCCAGAAGTATCCAAGTTGGATTCTCATTCGGGATGGACATTTTTCACCTTTCTGACTTTGTGTAATTTAATATAAAAAAAGAGAATTTCATTTATTTCCTTCTCTCATTTTTACCTCTATTTTTCTGTACATTTTTTTAAAATTATCTCTAAGTTGCTTACTAATTCAGGATTTCACTTTACTACTTCTTAATACTTTTTCTCCCTCAAGTACTGTGATTCCTAAAGATATTTTATGTAGATTACAAATTATATCTTCAAATATGTATTCAATTAAGTTTGAAGGTGTGTTTTATTTATGTGATATCGATGATAGTATTATTATTTACGAGAAATTTCTTTCTAGTATTATTGTCAAGGCGATAATTGCATAAGCAAAGAAGAATTTATTGAACACAAGAAATATCCTACTATGGATGATTTCATGCGACATATGCCTGTGATTGGAACAATGTATACTAAACCATTCACACAATTAAACAGCAGAGAAATTGCTGGTATGGTAGACGCTTTGACTGCAGAAGCCAAGAAATTAGATGAAGATTACGAATCGGTAACGAAGGAAAACGTTAAGAACGTATACAATCCTGCAAAACATATTTTTGAAGCACTTGAAAAACATGTAATTCGACGAGCTTATAAAATTGATGTAAGAGATTCCACGGAACAACTCTACGAAGTAACAAAATCTCTGAATGATAAATTAATTAATGATGCAAAAATTCGAGATGACGAAATTAACTTCACCGAGAAAACCTTAAGTTTAATTAAAAGTGTTTATTTTGATCTTGATTCATTTCTATTTATCATATCTATGAAAAGTTTTATAGAATTGCAATAAAATGGTTTAAAAATGTATTTGAAATTGTTTAATTAATGTAGTGGAAACTCGATTATCCGAAACAATTTTTAAAAATTTAGAACCCGCAGTGTTGCACATATTACAGAGTATAATACAATACCTTCGTATACTACGGTATCTACTGTTGTTCACGAATTTTTTAAATGTAGTATGGGCGATGAAACACAAAACTAATAAAAAAAGTAATAATAAAATAAGAAGAAATAAATAAAATATTTAATGTATTGACTACAGGTCCTATCAAATTCGGAAAATCGAGTTTCTATTGTATACACAATATACGAACAGTAGATTGGACTGAATTGATGAATTAAGGCAACTAAATATTCGGGCAATCTGCTAAAGGAGGTGCCTTTCGCAAGGACTTTCTGTGGTAAACTGCACCCTACTTGTTAGATGTGTGAAGAAAACTCGGTAAACTCTTCGTGGCTATCAGTTGGTTAGGCGTGAGCCTCACGAACAACGAAATTAGAGATTATTATTGAACTTTTCATTACCAAACTCATGAAATAATGATAAATTATTTTGCCAAGGGAAAATGCCAAATTACTACCTAAATGCATACAAAGGTGCAGAAATTTATTTATTAAATCTGATCTACTGAAAAGAATTAGAAATAAATGGCAACACACTCATACACCGTACATACAAATATATGGAATTTCCTCTTTTATTTTTATTTTTTGAGTACAAGGGATCGCATGACGTCGAGATTTGCAAAAAAAGTCGGAGACCAATTTGACACGATTACAAAACTTTATCGTGTTACATTATGATGAAAAAGTTTAAATTGTATTATTAAAATAATATCAAAGTAAATATGGTTTCGCCATACCGAATAAATATATCCAGCAACGAGTTGTTTAACTTTCTGGCGACATTTGGTAGCGCCATCTGTTATGACATTTTAATAAAAAATCTTTTTATATTTTTAACTGTTGTAAAATAGCAAATAAATTAATTTTGAGGGTAGGGATGGGTTTTATATAAAATTTTAAATGCCAATAACAAAAAAAAATTGTCGTGACGTTTGGCCCTAATAGAGATACACACGATCCCCATTATCTTCTCACCTATTCGACCTTTATTACCAAATTTTAATAAAGAGGTTGCGGCCGACGTTTCCAAAGCGCAAACGCGTACGTCGGACGTTCATCGTCGCTTTCCTAAAGGCGTAGAAGTTTGGTAATGGTGTTTGGGACGTCGAGCATGATTCCACTGATTATCCAAATGTCAAACCATTGTCAAACTTCTAGGCTTAGAGGAAAGCAGCGCTAAACGTCCGACATACGCGTTTTCGCGTTGAAAACGTCGGCTTCATCCACGTTACTAACATGCACACATACATGAAATAACCCCTAAAATTTTTTGTATTTCTAGACTTTGCAGGGTATCATAAGCGGAAGAATGTAAAAATCTTGTGTGGAGGTCATTTTATTTTTCCTCTCTTATATATAAGAACCGGGAAAGTAATTAATTAATTGCTATTTATTTAAAAAACCGATGTACCTTTCTTATGTTCATAGAATTATAGTATACAATTTTATAATTTACTTAAATACTTTTATTATAGTCATTAATATATTCAATAAAATCAGATGATTGTTAGTAATTCTTGATGATTTATTGATATATCGAAACGTGTACCAATGTCAGAAATACCTAAATATAAAATCAATTATAATAAAACAAATAAAATTCATTAAAAATGTCTTTAAAAGTTAAACTTGTTTATAACAATCGGCATTTAAGAAGAATCTTGTAAATATCTGAAGCAGGCGTTCATCACAACAACAATGTGTTCCAATTGCTGATGAAGCCTTAAGTGATGTACAACGCGATCCTCTTCTGGCGCTGAAAATTATTTTATATTATTATGTAAGGATTGTTTATAAAACTAAAATAATAATTCACTACAAAATAAAATAAACTTCTTACTAAATATAATAAGAAAAGTTTAAGCAAAAATTCATATACTTTCTCGTATAAAAGTATGAACTACTTCACGCTTTTACTAATCGTATATAGTTTGAATAGTTTAATGATTTTTATTTTTATTTAACTACGAATAATAAACTACTTAAATTTAGGTTAAGATATGAAAGACAAATATTTTAATGCGAATAGCAAATACCTTCCAAATATATTAAATGAATCTTCGTTTCTAAGTCAATTTCTCCATTAGAAAATATCTCTCTCATCATTCGCATCAGTTTCAAAATCAGCATTGTCAAGAACTGAAAATGTCCGATTTTATATTTGTACGGATCGAGATAATAATTTTCCAGTTTTAAAACATCGTGAGCAACAAGTGATTCTTCTACTATCTGCAAGGTTATAGCTTTTATCGAATATACGTCCTGTAAAATCAGTTAAGAGCTTGTTTCTATTAACATTTCGTAAAGAAGACTAAATTTAAATTATTAATTTATAAACTACCATTCTGTTTGTTGCTGTTATCGGCATATTTTCTATTATCCATAAAGAAACATCTTTCAGTGTTGAGATGAGAAAAACTTAAAATTTTAGGAACTCTTTTAGTAAGTAATAGTTATTCGGTGCCTTGAAAAAAGGTAGTAAATTAAATTACGATTAATATTTACAATAGAAGTTCGTTAATCCTGCACCCCATAATCGGGAAATCTCGAAATGGCAGTATTCCGCAAATGGAAATTTCACACGTGGTATGTAAAAGATCCTGGGTGGAATCGAGTATGGCACAATATAGTCATAAACTGCATGAAATCGAGACTGAAGAGTGCGCATGATTAAAATCAGAATAATACAGCAACGTTTGCTGATGCAAAACGTACGGCAATGGGCGCATTGCCTAATAAAACAGCTTTAGTTTATATGGATTAGCAAGCCAATTAAAACGCGTGTTTTAAATGAAACGGCTGTGTTATTGGTTTGCATATCCAAGTGTTTCAAAGCCACTTTACCAGGAAACACTTCCAATGTTTAGATTGCACGAAACTTTCTGAAATTTTCGCAAATACAAAAATATTTTTGCCTATTACTAGAAATTTTAGTCTCTAAATTAAAACATAGTATAAATTCCTATGCATTGGAAAGCTTCCCTTTTACGTTCAAATGGTAATGCAATTTAAATTACCAATTTCAAATCTGTTTCGTAGAACGAGTACCAAACTCTCATGGACGTCATTTAACCGCTCTTAGCAGTAGTTATGTCTCTGAATATTTAGTAATCACACACCATTCTGGTTTCCTAAATACCGCATTAACGAACTTCTACTGTTCTAACAGAATTTTAAGATAATTATTAATAGCAAGTTTCTTACTCTAGTTGTAACTTCACGTAGAAGAATTTCTTTATCCCTTAAATAATATCCTCGAGAATGTATTCCAAATTTGATCGGTTTTAAACCCTTCATATAACATATCTGTAAAGTACAAAATTTACATTTATAAACCGGCTTGCAGTCACCATTTATAGAGCATTCGTAGCAACTTCTGTTAATGATTGTTGTGAAGACAAACTGAAGACAACGTTTGCACGCCTCGCATCCGTAATAATCATTCCATGCCTGGCGATAACAAATTCTGCATTGACTAATTATCATTCTACCTTTAAAAAAATAATAAAAATATAGCCTGTAAAAGCTACATGTAGTTAAATAATGTTCACATCCGAAAATATTCAATATGTTGTTTACCTCTTTGACCTTTTTGTTCTGTGATCTGCTCTATTGTAGCCATTATCGTTTAAAAATATAAAAATAAATGAATACGAAACAACAGTGAAAACGAAATGAAACATTCACTTTTAAGGAATCTTCATTTACATAAATTACGTAATATTTTTCGAAAATTAAATATAATTAAATAATAAATATTTTTCAAATAAAATTATTAATTAATTTATCATTAATTAATGGACCCCGAACTTTTTTCTTAAAACTATTTTTTAAGCTTGGAAAGTAAATTTTAAGTTTTAGTTATTATGAAATTAGAAAATAAATGTAATTGAAAATTCATATTACTAATTAATTAATTAGTTATTTTCAATAATATAAAAATAACGTTTGCTTTAATTTTGTATCAGTTATTAATACAAATAACGTCAAATATAAACAGAATTTGCAGTTTTGTTTTTTGAAACCGTGTCCTGTTTTATATTTGTGGCGTAGTAAACACTAGTATTGTGTATTATTCCAAAGACACATTGCAAGTTTTTCATCAAATTGCTTTATTAGTTGACTGGATATGGTACATTGTTTTGTACTCGTTTTGGGCTTTGCCCCTCTTCAGTCAACTAAAGTACGATATTTATTTTTTTAAACTATTACAATAGAGAATTAACATAAAACAAAGAGTACATAAACGATATATAGACGTATCTTTTGGCTAACTTTGTATAATTCATGTAAAATCTACTTTAATCTTTTGTAAATAAACTAGTATACATTACAAATTAAATAAGGTTAAAATCTTCTAAAATTTACCCTTTTAGGTAAATTTTCTACAATACAACTGTAAAAATTTTTAGCTATTTCCGCCTTCTTATTCACTTTCCACTCCCTTTTTCTGGTTAGAGGTTAACAGTCTGTTCTTTATTTTTTGATATGATAGTGCTAATTTGTAGTTTATTCTTTGTATTTCTGCACTGATTTGTTTATATAGACTCTTAATATACGGGTAATTAATATATTTTGTTTTAGTCGCTTGTTTATTTTTATTTTTTACATAGGTTTCTTGGGTCATTAAGTCTGATTTCCCATTGTTTCAGCAATCTCTGCGGAAATCCTGCTAGAAGAAACTTCTTCCTTAATTCCATTAGGTCTTCGATTATATGTGCTTCTTGGCTTGTCTGGTTTATGATTTTTTCGTATTCCATTTTATATGTATTAGGATGTCGTCAACCCATCTTTTATAGAATTTTATTCCTGGTATGTTACATATTATATTATCGATGTATATCATAATTAATTCAGCAAGTTTTGGGCCGATCACTGATCCTATAGTTATTCCATCTGTCTGAGTATAGTATTCTCCGTTGGTTTCGGAATAATTAATAAACAAATACAAATATAATTCATCGTTTGACAATAAATGTTAACACAGACAATTCCAATTTAATTGTTTCGTTGTTATTATTAAAGAGGGGCATTGTTGACACGTATCGGAATTGTATGTTTTTTTAACGTTGATGTAAAAACGTTGTACTTTTCAATTGTTTATATTTCGGTAACGGAGTTACAGAAAAAAATAATTTCAGACGATACAATAGCCACGATTATATTTTTCAAAAGATGGGAACTTATCGTTACGCATCGACAAAAATTCAACCCGGGCAGACACGCAACGGAGAGAAATTTTAATAACTTATAGGAATTTCAAATACTCACACTTACAGTTACAAATAATAGGACATAAATGGGAATGTAAGCTTTAACAAATTCCTTAACTTATAAATGAGAATTCGAAAGTAAATTGCGATGAGTAATATTTACTTTCAGCGAGTGCTTCGCTGTTCAATGATGCGCAAACACAATATATAGATATTACATGAACTAAAAAGTAGAGACTTGTAAAACATAGGTAATAATATGCAGCATGAAACCTCAAAATTTCTTTCTTAGGTGAGACTTCAAGATGCAACTTTTCCTATAAAAAACGATAGAAAGAAAACCTGACATAATAAATTATTGAAATGCGAGATTTCCCAGAAAAAAAGTTTCCCGGGATTTTTATTGTAGGGAATAAACGAAGGGAATCCAGGGAAAAATACCATATTCATCGCCATGTTATTAGAAGTAATATGGCGATGAGACACCGGTACAACCTCGAGAATAGTACATTTTACTGAATATATATAATAATATATTACACTTCTTGAAAGTTTGCATATGTAATATACAACGATGAAGAACTAACTAAACTTTGTTAAACTAATTATTTTGCTTAATGTTTGCAATAAATTTGATTTAACTACTCTTTTTTAGTCATGAAAGTCGAATATGGCATTTGCAGTTAACATAACTGTACACGGGACATTTATAAACAGAGAATAAAATATAGGCCTATATTTTTATTACAATTAAGTTTAATTTTCTTAAGATTTTAGTGATAAAAAAAACATAAATGACTGGCATTATAACACTGCAATAACTTCATGGTCCATTATTGAGGTATTTAAATGAATTAAACAAATAACCTTAATCTTTAAAAAATCTTACAGTTTTAATTATAATTTTAAAATATATTTATTAATAAATAAAATTAAAATATTTTAAATTATATAATAAATGGTAGAAAGGTATAGGTAGTTGCTGCAAATACAATTGTATGAATACATCTGCAAACCCTGGTTGACACGCCACTTGATAAAAGTTTACGTGACAATTATACAAAATTTTTCGAGTAAACACGTAGATCACAATTACGCATATGACGATGAAGTTGATTCGTTCTTTCTCTCTCTTCTTAATTTTTGGTAAGTAGCTTTCAACGTAAGACAGAACGTTGAAGTTAACGTTGTTTTAATGCACTGTACTTCATTTACCTTGCAGTTACCAGCTTGTTTGATGGTTCGTGTGGAAGAAAAAGCGGGAAGGGACGAGAAAAGGTAGTAATTTTATGTCATTTATTCGATAAATGTACATAGTGTTCGAAGTTTAGTAGATTCTGCTTTAAGGCGGTCGAAAAGAATTAGGATTTTTTTGGAAATAGTCTAACTTATCTCTCACCANTACAGTAATTACGTAACTCGCTAGATCGCTGTTTAAAAACCAGTTGAATCATAAAAGTAGTGTTAAAAATTTACAAATTATATAATAATAATATATATTTCCAGGAACGTAAGCTTAATTTATGACAATAAGCTGATAGCAATTAAGAATAGCGTGTGTTCCCAGTTTTCCAAGTACTAATTAAGTTGTGAAAGAGTGTATATATTTCTAGAAATTTACGTTAAAAAATAAATTCGTAAATGAGCAAATGGTTAAATACATTATAGAAATTTAGATATTTTCTTCAAAAGTTAGTACTAAAGATTGTCTATAGATTTAAAGTCCATCATTGCGTATATAAAATTTCTCCCTTTCATATTTTTATAAAAAATATATATTTAAAAACACAAAAAATTATTGTAAATTGTTAAATTGCAGGGTATCGTAGCTTATTCTTAAAAATTACTTTAATTTAATCGCCTCATCCATTCCACCGTCTTCCAGAAGTGTTCAAGTTCGATTCTCATTTAGGATGGAATTTTTTTTATTTTCTGACTTTGTGTAATATAATATTACAAAAGCGTATTTCGTTTATTTCCGTCTCTCATTTTTACTTTTATTTTTCTTTACATTTACTCATCTTATCTCTAAGTTCCTGACTAATTCAGGAATGGCACTTCACTACTTTTTCCTTTCTTCATAATACTTCTTTCTCAAGTACTAGGATTCCTGAAGATATTTTATGTAGAATACAAATTAAATCTTGAAGTATTCAATTTACATTGAAGGTGTGTGTGTGTTATTTATATGATATAGATAAAAGTATTATTATTTACGAGAAATTTCTTTCTAGTATTATTGTCAAGGCGATAATTGCATAAGCAAAGAAGAATTTATTGAACACAAGAAATATCCTACTATGGATGATTTCATGCGACATATGCCTGTGATCGGAACAATGTATACTAAATTATTCACACAATTAAACAGCAGAGAAATTGCTGGTATGGTAGACGCTTTGACTGCAGAAGCCAAGAAACTAGATGAAGATTACGAATCGGTAACAAAGGAAAACGTTAAGAATGTATACAATTCAGCAAAACATATTTTTGAAGCACTTGAAAAACATGTAATTCGACTAGCTAATAAAAATGATGTAAGAGATTCTACTGTACAACTGTACGAAGTAACAAACTCTCTGAATGATAAATTAATTAATGATGCAGAAATTCGAGATGACGGAATTAACTTCACTGAGAAAATCTTAGGTTTAATTAAAAGTGTTTATTTTGCTTTTGATTCATATCTATTCATCATATCTATGAAACTTTTCATAGATATGATGAATTGCAATAAAATGGTTTAAAAATGTTTTTGAAATTGTTTAATTTAAACCCCTTAGTTCCCATTGACGAGATAACTCGTAGTGGAAACTCGATTATCCGAAACAATTTTTAAAAATTTAGAACCCGCAGTGTTGTACATACTACAGAGTATAATACAATACCTTCGAATACTACAGTATTTATTGCTTACGAATGTTTTAAAATTTACTATGGGCGATGAAACCAGAACTAGTAAAAAAGTAATAATAAAATAAAATAAAAAAAATAATAAACGATTTTCTGTATTGACTACTGGTGTCCCATCAAATTCGGAAAATCGAGTTTCTATTGTATACACAATATTCGAACAGTAGATTGGACTGAATTGATGAATTAAAGCAATTCAATATTTGGGAAATATGCTAAAAGAAGGTGCCTCCAGGAAGGACTTTCTATGGTAAACTGCACCTTACTTGTTAGACACGTGAAGAAAACCCGGTAAACTCTACGTGGCTATCTGTTGGTTAGGCGCGAGCCCCACGAACCACGAAATTATAGATTATAATAGAACTTTTTATTAACAAACTCATGAAATAATGATAAATTATTATGCCAAGAGAAAATGCCAAATTACTACTTAGATATATACGAAGGTGCAGAAATTTATTCATTAAATCTGATCTATTGAAAAGAATTAGAAATAAATGGCAAGACACACTCATACACAATACATACGTATATATAGAATGTCCTGCTTTATTTTTAATTTTTGGGTACAACGGATTGCACAACGTTCGAGATTTGAAAAAAGTCGGAGGGTGAAGAAAATCGTGCCTCACACACACACACACTAACATTCATACATACAGAAATTACCCCCGAAATTGTTTGCTGTTGTAAGCTTTTCAGGGTATCCTAAGCCAACGAATGTACTCGTAAAATGTTGAGTGGAGGTCATTTTACTTTTCCTCTGTTATATATAACAACCGGGAAAGTAATTAATAGATTACTATTTATTTTAAAAAACCGATGTACCTTTCTTATGTTCATAGAATTATGGTATACAAGTTTATAGTTTACTTAAATACTTTTATTATAGTCATTAACATATTCAATAAAATCAGATGATTGTTAGTAATTCTTGTTGAATTATATCGAAACGTGTGCCAAATGTCAGAGATACGTAAATATAAAATCAATTATAATAAAACAAAGTAATAAAATTCATTAAAAATGTCTTCTTAAAGTTAAACTTATTTATAACAATCGGCATTTAAGAAATGTCTTCTAAATATTTGAACCAGACGTTCATCCAAAAAGCAATGTTATCCAAGTGTTTATGAAGCCTTTCGTGATGTACAACGCGTTCCTTTCCTGGCCCTGAAAATTATTTTATATTATTATTTAAGGATTGTTTATAAAAATAAAATAATAAATTACTACAAACAAAATAGACCTCTTACTAAATATAGTAAGAAAAGTTTAAGAAAAAATTCATACTTTCTCGTATAAAAACATGAACTACTTCCTGCTCTCACTAATCGTATATAATTTGAATAGTTTAAAAATATTTCTTTTTATTTAACTATGAATAATAAGCTGCTTAAATTTAACTTAAGATATGAAAGAAAAATATTTTAATGCGTATAGCAAATACCTTCAAAATATATTGAATGAATGTTCGTTTCTAAGTCAATTTCTCCATTATATAATCTCTCTCTCATCATTCGCGTCAGTATCAAAATCTGCATTGTCAAGTACTGGAATTGTCCGATTTTACATTTGTACGGATCGAGATAATAATTTTCCAGTTTTAGAACATCGTGAGCAACAAGTGATTCTTCTACGATCTGCAAGGTTATAGCTTTTATCGGATATAGGTCCTGTAGAAGCTGTTAAGGTCTTGTTTCTATTAACATTTCGTAAAGAAAACTAAATTTAAATTATTAATTTAAAAACTACCATTCTGTTTGATGCTGTTGTCGGCATATTTTCTATTAACCATAAAGAAACATCATTCAGTGTTGAGATGAGAAAAATTTTAAATTTTAGGAACTCTTTTAGTAAGTAATAGTTATTCGGTGCCTTGAAAAAAGGTAGTAAATTAAATTACAATGAATATTTACAATAGAAGTTTGTTAATCCGGCACCCCATAATCGGAAAAACTCGAAATGGCAGTATTCCGCAAATGGAAATTTCACACGTGGTATGTAAAAGATCCTGGGTGGAATCGAGTGTGGCACAATATAGTCATGCAGTGTATGAAGTCCAGACTAGTTAAAGAGTGCGCATGATTAAAATCAGAATAATACAGCAACGTTTGCTGATGTAAAACGTACGTTAATGGGCGCGTTGCCTTTTATAGCAGCTTTAGTGTATATGGATTAGCAAGCCAATTAATTAATTAAAAAGGGTGCTTTAAATGAAATGGGTGTGTTATTGCTTTATTGATACAAGTGTTTTAAAGCCGCTTTATCAGGCGATGTCCAGATTGCACGAAACTTTCTTAAATTTGCGAAAATACAAAAATATTTTTTCTATTATAGAAATTATAGTCTCTAAAATAAAATATAGTAAAAATCCTAAGCATTCTAGATTAAAAATCCTTCTTTACGGTCAAATAGAATGGAATTTAAACCACTAATTTTAAATCTGTTCTGTAGAACGAGTAACAAATTCTCATGGTATCATTTAATACTAGTTATGTCACTGAATATTCAATAATCTGACACCATCTTGTTTTCTTAAATACCGCATTAACGAACTTCTACTCTTCTAACAGAATTTTAAGATAATTATTAGTGGAAAGTTTCTTACTCCAGTTTGAACTTTACGTAGCAGAAATTGTTTATCCCTTAAATAATATCCTCGAGAATGTATTCCAAACTTGATCGGTTTTAAACCCTTCTTATAACATGTCTGTAAAGTACAAAATTTACATTTATAAAGCGACTTGTAGTCACCATTTACAGAGCATTCGTAGCAACTTCTGTTAATGATTGTTATGAAGACAAACTGAAGACAACGTTTGCACGACTCGCATCCATAATAATCATTCCACGCCTGGCGATAACAAATTCTGCATTGACTAATTATCATTCTACCTTTAAAAAAATAATTAAAACTATAGCCTATGAAAGCTACATGTAGTTGAATTGTGTCTACTACCGAAAATATTCAATATATTGTTTACCTCTTTGACCGTTTTGTTCTGTAATCTGCTCTATTGTAGCCATTATCGTTTAAAAATATAAGTAAATAAGCACGAAACAACACTCGAAACGAAATGAAACATTTACTTTTAAGGAGTCTTCATTTACATAAATTACGTAAATTTTTCGAAAATAAAATTTAATTAAATAATAATTATTTTTAAAATAAAATTATTAATTAATTCATCATTAATTAATGGCCCCTGATTTTTTTCTTAAAACTATTTTTTTAAGCTTCGAAGGTAAATGTTACAGTTTTAGTTATAAAATTAGAAAGTAAATGTAATTGAAAATTCATATAATTAATTAATTAATTAATTAATTAATTATTAATAATATAAAAATAACGTTTGCTTTAATTTTGTACTTAATACAAGTAACGTGAAATATAAACAGTATTTTTAGTGTTTTACGTCATATACAATTGTGAGTGTAGCAGTGCCAGTTACTTCAAGTCCATGTTTATACGAGCCCTCAAAATAAACGTCTTTTTCTGTTGCCGGCACCTTTCTATTACATAAAACTACATTTGCGATTATACTTCCATTGAGCACCATAAAATTATAGATTGGATGTCTGCCGTCAGAGCAAAATTATAGACATAAATCATTGGCTTAAACTTGAGGATCTTTCTTATTCAATACTTTCTTGTGACTAGCAGTGGCCGGGCGGGTAAAACCACAAAACACTGGTAGTTGGTCGCAGGTTCGCTTTTGATCAACGGGCTGACCACGTGAAGTTTTCCGGGCATTCTTCATGTGTGTGATACCTAAATAGGGTTCAGTTTTCAATAGACATATCGTCGAAATATTACATTGATTAATTCTAAGAATTTAATGCTTCCACAATGCTTTGAACTCTCACTCTTACAGCCAGATCTGTTTTAAAAATTATATAACGTTTACAAACGTCGTTTTACAACTCTATTGATTACACCCTTTAACAGATTACATGCCCTTGAAGTTTTAGCTATATCTCCAACTGATTTATTGTCTATACCACATCCATTAGCGTGCGCAATTCGACATTTACTCTATCTAACACTTGACGATTCCTGCAAAGAGAATGGCTTTTCTAACACTATATTCATTTAATTATAAAGTTTGCTGTAATAACCATTAGATATAGATAATGACACATCATAAAAATTTTTGTTAATTACGCTAAATTCCGGTATGCATTTCGGTCCCTCCTCTGCCGGTCTGGTAGTTTTCTCCTGAAAACTCAACAATAGATATGTAGTTTAAAGTAGTGAGTAAAGATTTTGAAGATCCGTTTTGAAGCCTTCGAAGTCGACACCTGGAGCACGTGTCTACCTTCGCCCTTCTTAGCTATGCATCTGCGCAGTAGGATTGAATTTGTATAAGAGTGAATTTTGGTGGATAAGAATTAACACACTGAACCACGAGCAAACATCAAATTCCTTCATAGAGTTCAGCGTGTTAATAAGGAAAGGCATGTTGAACTTATCAATAATCTTTCTGCTTTGTAGGGCATGCAATAATCCTACAGCAGCGAGAAAATGAGACAGTTAAAAAGTTGTATGGATGCTGATGCTTTTTCTAGTTCAATGGGCTGGTAGCCTACCAAGCCGATTAGAAGGGAAGAGAGGAGGATTACTCAAGAATGAATAAACCACTGAACAACTGGCAAGTGGCCGAGGATTCGAGCTTCACCAACAGGTCTGATACGGGAGATTATCTGGGTTTTCTTTACTTGTCTAACACCAAATTTGTTGTCCTTTTATGAAAACCATTGTAGACAATTAGTAAGAAATTTTTTAATAAAATTAACAATATGAAAATTTATAGGCAATTAAAAATAACAAATAATGAATTCAATAATATAAAGTAGACCCCTATAAAACGGGTTCATATAATGCGGATTCGTATATAGCGGCGAAAAATTGCGACCGTATTCGTATAAAGACGCTAAAAGAAACTCGTAAAATGCGGTAAAATGTCATCGCCGACTCGTGTCGCGACAGGATTGGTCGAATCTAGACCTATAGCTGATATTGCACAAACCGTTGCGTTTAAACGAGAAGAGGACCTACTAAAAACCATTTATTATTTAACGGCAATAAAAATTACATTTATATTAATGATGCCACTAAAGTTCAGCAAATTTTTCGCAGAAAAATAATTTATCAGAAAACACGCCCCGTTCGATGCGCCGCTCCGCGACGAAAACAAGCTTAAGCAATGGCGTCGTCGAACGGTGCATACTCGGTAAGTATTCCTACAATTTTTTGTTTATAGCATAGATTATATGAATTATCCCCAAAAAAAATTATACGTATTTTGGAAATGTCGAGTGAAATAAGTCTAGAATCGGTTAATTTTATGAAAGAAAACCTTTCAAACAGCCGTAATCCGTAAACTGCATACGTGCCGGGGTGTGATTAGCTCATGTATTTAAGGACTCGTAGAACACGAATTTCATGAAAAGCGGAACGTATCTACCGTGTTATAAGGGGCTCAACTGTATATACGTGAAATATAAGTAATTACTATTTTTAACGTAAAATAAACTTAAAATATTGAACTGTCAATTTTAATTTACAATTTTAGTTTACAAAAATCTAACTTTTTATAGTAAAATAACATCAATATGTAAAGATCGATTGTGGCGCGAACTAACACGAAACCATTTAATATGGCGTCGGGAAGTTGGTACATACGTGCTACTGTTTGTAGTCTAATATTTGTTAAATACAATGTGTTAAAAATTCTTTAATAATTAATTCTTTTATTAATAGCTATAATATTACAAATACAAGTTTTTCTTCAAGGATAGTTTAAGCATTTTATGCAATTCAAAGCAGAGTTACAAAATTAGTAGCTTGTTTCTTTAATTATTTTATACTGTTATACAATAGATTAACTTTGCCTATTTTTATTTCAATAGAAATGTTTTTTATACATTAATAATTTAAATGTATTTTACCAGTGAAATTCAAATGTTTTTAAAAACGAATTTGCCACTGAGTGGACGTATCAGTGTCTCATCTCTAGGGTTTCTCATTTCCCAGGAAATTTGCCTCTAAAGCAGTGGATTATGTGAAAAATAATTTCTTTTCCCGGGATCCCGGGATGAGATAGTAAAATAGAATTTCATATGAATAAAAAGTATCATACAGGAATATCATAAAATTTGAATAATTTATTTTCTAGTACATAACTAAAAGTGTAAGGCCAATCTCCGCTGTTCGATGATGCGCAAACACAATACATAGATATTACATGAACTAACAAGTAGACTTGTAAAACATAGGTAATAACATGCAGCATGAAACCTCAACAATTCTCTCTTAGGTAAGACTTCAAGATACAACTTTTCGTATAATAAACGATAGAAAGAAAACATGACATGATAAATTATTGAAGTTTTAATAATAGTAATAACACATAAATCACTGGCATTATAACACTGCAATAACTTGATGGTCCTTTATTTAAATGAATTAAACTTAATCTTTAAAAAAATCTTACAGTTTTAATTATAATTTTAAAATATTTTCAATTTATTTATTAAGTAATAAATATATTTTAAAGTATATAATAAATGGTAGAAGGGTATAGGTAGTTGCTGCAAATACAATTGTATAAATGCATCTAGAGACTCTGATTGACAAACCACTTGATAAAAGTTTACGTGGCAATTATACAAAATTTTTCGAGTAACACATAGATCACAAGTACGCATCTGACGATGAAGTTGATTCTTTCTTTCTCTCTATTCTTAATTTTTGGTAAGTAACTTTTAACATAAGAGAGAACGTTGAAGGGTTGTTTTAATGTACTGTACTTCCTTTACGTTGCAGTTACCAGCTTGTTTGATGGTTCGTATGGAAGAAAAAGCGGGAAGGGACTAGAAAAGGTAGTAATTTTATGTCATTTATTCGATAAAAGTAAATGGTGTTCGAAGTTTAGTAGATCCTGCTTTAAGGCGGTCAAAAAGAATTATGATTTTTTAAAAATAGTATGTCTTATACCTCACCACCTGGCCATCAATTGTGGCCTTTATTCTGTACTCATAACAGAATGCACGGTGGGAAACGGACTTCAGGATGAGTATAATAAAATTCCTTTTAAAGAGAAAAGAATAGGAAAAAAACTTGGACATTTTTATAAAGTATTATTTTCGAGAAAGAAATGTAAATTTATGACACTAATCTTACAGTAATTATGTAACGCGCTGGACCGCGTTTTAGGAGCCAGTTGAATTATAATTGTGTTAAACTGTGCACATATTAAAAATTTAACGTCTGATTCGTTTTTTTGAAACCGTGTTTTCGTATTTATTTACTATTGAACACAAGACTGTGTTATTATTAAAACACTAAGTGGGTAAACGCCAAGTGTTTTAATAATAACACAGTCTTGTGTTCAATAGTAAAAAAAATTTAACGTCACTAATCACAGAAAAAAACATATATAACAAAATTACAGAAAATACCTATAAAAAAAGCATAGGAGTTATTAAGCTTCAAATAGAGTGAACAAAATCGTGTCCCCCACCCTCTCTGTTTCTCTTACATACACGAACATCCATACACACAGGAATTACCCCCGAAATTTTTTGCTGTTCTACACGTTTCGGAGTATTCTAATCCGACCGATTTAAAAATCTTGCATAGAGGTTATTTTACTTTTGCTCTGTTATATATAAGAACCGGGAAAGTAATTAATTGATTGCTATTTATTTTAAAAACCGACGTACCTTTCTTATGTTCATAGAATTAAGTAAACTATAAACTTGTACAATATAAATACTTTTATTATAGTCATTAACATATTCAATAAAATCAGATGATTGTTAGTAATTNGGAGACGAAAAATAATAAAGTTATCATACTTTTTCTGGTGATCGCATGATGTAATTGTGCAGCTATGTTACCTAATGTTACCTATGGTGAGTAAAATGGCGGCTCGTCTCTGATTCCAGCAAACAGAAGAAAGGAAACTGTGGGGACGCACGTTCTGTCCTAACCTAACCTATTTTATTAAATTACCATAATTATTACCAACCAAGTTATTAGAATAGGTTAGGTTAGGTTTGAACGTGCGTCCCCACTGTTTCCTTTCTTCTCTTTGCTGGAATCAGAGACGAGCCGCCATTTTACCCACCATAGGTAACATTATCCAATTGTGCAGTCTAAAGATTGGTGACACTTTGAATTTCATAACAATTGATTTCTGCGACAAGCACTCCTATTTGTGGTAAATTTATTTGTGGCAAAAATCTTATTTTCACTTTACCGAGTGCCTAGTAGGTAATGTGCGGATTACCTAGATACTATGCAAATTATCTAGGTAATTTGAGAAATTTAACAATTTCCACAACTTTAACGGATCACGCTAGTTAATCTGCAGATTAGCTAGGTAATCTGAAGATTAACGAGTTTCGAGCTTTAGCGGTAACATATACATAGATTAAATTACATTCATATTTATCTAATAAGGAAATTAAATTTATTTTATATCAAACAGCAGTTTGTAATGTTTTCCTATTGTAGATCAATAAGTACGGATCACTGAATTATGATCCGTACTTATTGATCTACAACAAGATTCTGCTTGAAAATTATTATTAATTTAATTTTATAAACGATAAAATTTAAAATCAGTATTAGATTATTGAGATAAGACAAAAGAAACACGTGGAAGATCTACCAAAGGGGCTGCATTCTGAGAGTACTTTCTATGGGAAATTGTCCGTATTTAAATGAAGAATGCCGGAAAAATCCCAAGTTTTCTGGGTTTTCTCACGTATATAACACCTAAATAAGAGTTAATTTCATGTAGATAAATTATATCTTAATCTTTATAANCTACAAACAAAATAAACTTCTTACTAAATATAGTAAGAAAATTTAAGAAAAAATTCATACTTTTTCGTATAAAAGTATGAACTACTTCCTGCTCTCACTAATCGTATAGTTTGATTAGTTTAAATATTACTGTTTATTTAATCTAAATATAAGCTGCTTATTATTTATAGTTAAGATACAAAGGAAAAATATTTTAATGTGAATAGCATATACCTTCAAAATATATTAAATGAATCTTCGTTTCGTAATCAATTTTTCCATCGGAAAATCTATCTCTCATCATTCGTATCACTTTCAAAATCTTCATTGTCAAGTACTGAAATTGTGCGATTTCACATTTGTACGGATCGTGATAATAATTTTCCAGTTTTATAACATCGTGAGCAACAAGCGATTCTTGTACGATCTGCAAGATTATAGCTTTCATCGGATATACGTCCTGTAAAAACAGTAAAGGGCTTGTATCTATTAACATTTCAGAAGACTAAATTTAAATTATTAATTTAAAAACTACCATTCTGTTTGATGCTGTTGTCGGCTTATTTTCTATTAACGATACCGAAACATAATTCAACCTTGAGATGAGAAAATCTTTAAATTTCATGATCTCTTTTAGTAAGGAATATTTATTCGGTTCCTTGAAAAAAAGGTAGTTCATTAAATTACGATAACAATTTACAATAGAAGTTCGTTAATCCGGCACCCCATAATCGGGAAATCTCAGCAATGCAGTATTCCGCAAATGGAAATTTCACATGTGGTATGTAAATGATCCTGAGTGGATTCGAGTGTGGCACAATACAGTCATAGAATGTATGAAGTCCAGACTGAAGAGTGCGCATGATTAAAATCAGAATAATATAGGAACGTTTGCTGATGTAAAACGTAAGGCAATGGGCGCGTTGCCTAATAAAGCAGCTTTGGTGTTTATGGACTAGCAACTCAATTAGAAAGCCTGTTTTAAATGAAACGGGTTTTTTAATTGACAATGTCATTGGTTTGTTCATCCAACTGTATTAAAGCCGCTTATCAGGCAAGACGTCCGATGTTCAAATTTCACGAAACAACGAATTTTTTCGAAAATACGTGCAGTGTTCGCCACTGCAGATATTTTTGCTTATTACTAGATATTTTAGACTCTAAAGTAATATATAGTAAAAGGTTTCTAAGCATTGGAGGACCTCATACGTTCAAATGGTAATGGAATTTAAATGACCAATTTTAAATCCGTTCAGTAGAAAGAGTACCAAACTCTAAAGGGCGTCATTTAATCGCTCTTAACAGTAGTTACGCCACTGAATATTCAGTATTTCGGCATCATTCTGGTTTCCAAAATACCGCATTAACGAACTTCTACTGTTTTAAAAGAATTTTAGAATAATTATTAGTGACAAGTTTCTTACTCTAGTTTGAACTTTATATAGCAGAATTTCTCTATCCTTTAAATAATAACCCCGAGAATGTATTCCAAACCTGATCGGTTTTAAACCCTTCTTATAACATGTCTGTAAAGTACAAAATTTACATTTATAAACAGACTTGCAGACACCACTTTTAGAGCATCTGTAGCAACTTCTGTAAGCGATTGTTCTGAAGACAAACTGAAGACAACGTTTGCACGCCTCGCATCCGTAATAATCATTCCATGCCTGGCGATAACAAATTCTGCATTGACTAATTATCATTTTACCTTTAAAAAAATAATTAAAACTATAGCCTATAAAAGCTACATGTAGTTAAATTATGTTTACAACCGAAAATATTAAATATGTTGTTTACCTCTTTGACCTTTTTGTTCTGTTATCTGCTCTATTGTAGCCATTATCATTTAAAAATATGAAAATAAATGAACACGAAACAAACCGAAACATTCACTTTTAACGAGTCTTCATTTACATAAATTACGTAATATTTTTCGAAAATAAAATGTAATTAAATAATAAATATTTTTAAAATAAAATTATTAATTAATTCATCATTAATTAATGGCTCCTGAATTTTTTTCTTAAAACTATTTTTTAAGCTTAGAAGGTAAATGTTACAGTTTTAGTTATTATGTAATTAGAAATAAATGTAATTGAAAATTCATATTATTAATTAATTAATTAATTATTATTAATAATAATATAAAAGTAACGTTTGCTTTAATTTTGTGTATGTTATTAATAGAAGTAACGTCCAATATAAACAGAATTTTTGGTGTTTTACACACACACACACAATCTTTTTATTAATGCAACAATATTGCATCACTGGCACCGCAATAGCATAACCAGTTTATACATGTTTAAGGCTGAACACAGGAAAATAAAGTAATGTCTTCAATGTATTTACATAAGATCGCCTATATACCGTAAATTAATACCGTAACATTTACATGTATGACAGATGACATCGAATATCTGCGTTATAAATAATAAGCTAGATTAATAACTTAAAATTAAACATAATAAGTAATAGTCAATTAACAGAAATATGTAAAGTATAACATATATTGTTGCGGTATATATTAATATAAGTTTCACATACAAATATATATGATGATATAATACTGTAGTCTAAACAAAATAAAGCTTAGAATAATTAACGCTAATAAATTATAAGAGTTACTTCGCAGGTTTTCAGGTGTAGTTGCAGCTTACAGTCATTTCATGTAAAAAGAGTTCTTAGGAGTCTCATATGTTACTAGCAGCACAGTATCCATACACTAAAATGGAAGTTCCTACAAACATAGAAGTACTTGGGAGATTCGGACAAGAGCACCCTGACCTAACACAAATATTAATAGTTCATTGTAGCTATCCAAGAGCTAAGTCAGCTTACTATTGCAGTTTATTCACTAAAAGTAACAGTTAGTATATGCTAACTCACAATTAACTTCGTAAATCTTGAATTCTATAAGGTTCACCAAAGGTAGGGATATCATATCAACGCTTCACCTATGTAGATAACACTTGTAAGGATTTGTCAAGACAAGAGCATTCTTAACTCCAGATACTTGTAGTAGTTTAATCGAAGTCTGAACTCCAAATCAATGTTATATAATAACAAAATCCATTATGATAGGTCTATATGGATCAAGTTATATAGGCTGATGTGGGTTATATCAGTAAAGCTATTGTAGTATCACATATCTAATGTTGTGAGATAGGAATAACTATTTAGGTGCGTGTGTTTGTAATATTACTGTAACTATTAATAAGATTACATAAGCAATAGAAAGATTCTTTACTATTGACAAGATCATTTAATGTGCACGGCCAGGAGATTCCT